CTTCCTCCTCCTGTCATGAGGCTATGATGTCATGCATTCCTATAATGTGCTTCCAGCTTATTGGGTCCCATGGTGCCTCTTGTGGGTTTAAAGTGGGTTCTGGATCTGGGAATGTTTGGAGATGCTTGTGACATTAACTCTCAACTGATGCATCGTGGCCCCAAGACCATGTAGTTTTCAAGGAAGGGATAAGCAGAGGTGGTCTGCCTCTGCGTAGCCACCTTGGACTTTACTTGGTGGTTGCCCTTCCAAATACTAACCAGAGCAAACCCTGTTTAGCTTCCAAACTTTGATAAGACTGGGTTGTTGTTGTTGTTCAGTCGCACAGTTGAGTCTGACTCTTTGCGACCCCCATGGACCAGATCCCGCCAGGCCCTCCTGTCTTCCGCCGTCCTCTGAAGTTGGCTCAATTTCATGTTCGTTGCATCTATGACACTGTCTAACCATATCATCCTTTGCCGTCCCTGTCTTCTTTAAGCTTCAATCTTTCCCAGCATCAGGGTCTTCTCCAGTGAGTGCTCCCTTCTCATTTGGTGGCCAAAGTATTTGAGCTTCAGTTTCATTATCTGGCCTTCCAGGGAACAATCATGGTTGATTACTTTTAGGATTGACTGATTTGATCTTCTTGCAGTCCAAGGGACTCTCAAGAGTCTTCTCCAGCACCATAGTTCAAAAGAATCTATTCTTCGGCGCTCGGCCTTCCTTATAGTCCAACTCTCGCAGCCATACATGACTACTGGGAATACCATTGCTTTGACCATGCGGACTTTTGTTGGCAGGGTGATGTCTCTACTTTTTATCATGCTGTTTAGGTTCGCCATCGCTTTCCTCCCAAGGAGCAGGCATCTTTTAATTTCATGGCTGCTGTCACAGTCTGCGGTGATCTGGGATCCCAGGAACACGAAGTCTGTCACTACTTCCACGACTTCCCCTTCTATTTGCCAAGGAGTGATGGGGCCGGATGCCATGATCTTCGGGGGTTTTTATGTTGAGCTTCAAGCCCACTTTTGCACTCTCCTCTTTTACTCTGAGCAAGAGGCTCTTAAGGTCCTCTTTACTTTCTTTAGAGTAGTATCGTCTGCATATCTGAGGTTGTTGATCTTTTCCCCAGCAATCTTAATTCCCGCTTGTGATTTATCCAGGCCAGCATTTCACATGATGTACTCTGCATATATATTAAACTAGGAATAAGGCCCGTTGTGGAAATAAATACAACGAGATCTAGAAAGAGGCTCTGGGAGAGTGCTCTGGCTTTGGGCAAACAGTGTCAGTTTGCTGTGGTGACCTCAGCAGGGTATAATGACAGAGTCCACTGTTTTCTCCAGAGGAACTGATCTCTGCTACCTGAAGAGCAGTTGTAGTTTTGAGT